GGAGAGCAGAAACCTTTGATCTCATGGACCCGACAAAGGATGCAGAAATTCGTCCACAAGTGACTTCCCTGGCTACAAGGGTCAAAGAAAGGGAGCTTGGGTCACAAAGGTTTGCACGTTTCTCAACCTGGAAGTCCTTAGTGAGAAGGATAAAAGCCCTGATTCATGTTGCAAGAACATTTTCAAAGGCTACGCACACCGGAAACTGTGCTGGTTGGCACTGCTGCAATCTTCCAGACGCCACGGAGCTCTCACAAGCAAAAACAATAATTGTTCAGTGTACAGATGGAGGTCTATAAAGAGGAGTTTGAAAGTCTCAAAAAGGAAAAGGGGGTTTCTTCCCACAGTCCTTTTAATAAGCTTGACCCCTTCATTGATAAGGAAGGTTCGCTGAGACTCGGGGGTCACTTGCAATCGGCAGATCTTTCAGATGTGGAAAAACACCCCAGCCACTCACCATGTAGCTGTTCTGCTAGTAAGGCATTATCATAATACGGTAGCTCACCAGGGCCGTCAGTTTACTGAAGGTGCTCTGCGCACAGCAGGGTTGTGGATTGTTAGCAGTAAAAGATTAGTTTCTAGTGTGGTCCACAAATGTGTCACCTTTAGAAAACTTAGAGGTCATCTGGAAGAACAGAAAATGGCCAACTTGCCTGCAGATAGAGTTTCTGTGGATCCACCATTTACTCGTGTAGGTTTGGACATTTTTGGACCTTGGAATGTCACATCCCGCCACACAAGAGCAAATAGTGCTGAAAGCAAAAGGTGGGCTGTGATGTTTACCAGAGCTGTACACTTAGAGATTGTAGAGTCCATGTCGACCTCAAGTTTCATAAATGCCTTACGTTGATTCTTGTCAATTAGAGGACCAGTGAAACTTCTACGGTCAGACCAAGGCACGAACTTCATTGGAGCCTATAAGGAATTGAAAATCAGTGTTGAAGAAAGACCCAGAGATTAAAGGGTATTTGCAGGACCAAGGCTGCACTTGGACATTCAACGCACCACATTCATCCCACATGGGAGGAGCATGGGAGAGAATGATTGGTGTTGTTCGGCATATTCTTGACGGTTTGCTGTTAAAAACCACAACAACCCGCCTCACGCATGAGGTATTGACCACTCTTATGGCTGAGGTCATAGCCATAATGAGTGCCAGGCCTTTAGTTCCCATTTCCACTGATCCAGGAACACCCGAAGTTCTCTCACCTCCAATGATTCTGACCCAGAAGGCGGGTGTTGTGTCAGCGCCTCTTGGAGACTTCGAACTCAGGGACCTCTATAAAACCCAGTGGCGGCAAGTTCAAGGTCTTGCCGACTGTTTCTAGAAGAGATGGAGGCAAGAGTATCTTGCCGCATTACAGACAAGATGAAAATGGAAGGGAGAGACACCAAATGTTCAAGAGGGCAATGTCGTCCTATTGAAAGACCATCAAGTCAAGCGTAATGAGTAGCCAGTTGGTCTTGTTGTCAAGGCTATTCCTAGTGATGATAACAGAGTGAGAAAGGTGGAGGTTAAGATAATGAAACAAGGGTTTGCTAGAACTTACCTTAGACCTGTTATTGATGTAATTGTTCTTTTGTCTGAATGAAGAAAGATCAAGGGATAGTGGTATATCATTAATATACCAGGCGGGGAGTGTGCTGGAAATCTTGTTCTTTTACTTCCACCTAGCGGTTGGTTTGGCAATAAGTTTTGTTTTTCTTCCACTCGGTAAAATGACGGACAGCCTACAGTGTGTTACTGATGTTTACCAACGTTTACGCCTTGGAGTAGCTATGTCCGTAAGTGAAGACATGGAATTATTGTTGTATTAGTGTTTTCACTAGAAAATTATTAGTATTTCACACATTGGTAAATTGTTGATGTCAAATGATTGGCAACATGTCTTGCTTGTTTGCTAGCTCTACTATGTGGATGTGCAAGTCCTCATGCAGTTTTAACCTGTGTGGAATTATTGTCAGTTTTAGCATAACACATTTTACACATGTTATGCTAGCGGTTTATTTTGCTTTAGTGCTCATACTTTCTTGTTTATTATCCTCGTAAGTAGGAGCCTGGTTATTTAAAGTTGCACAAGTGTAATGTGTAACGTACATAGTGCATTAGTGTGTAATACTTCTTGCACATGCATAGTAAGTTGCTGATATGTATTTTTGTATTCATTTCAGTTTTACAGAAACGACCAGTAAAGCCACACGTTTTTTCAAGAACACGGTTTGTTGGAGTTTTTGTTCGTTAGCTGACTAACTCTGGATAACAGACAGGATAGCCTGACCTAAAAAATATTTAGATGCCCTTGATCTTGGTAAAAACACCAACATCATATTGGACCAATGACTGATCAGACAGCTATAAAGAGGACAAGCAGGGAAATGATGAGCTTCTGAAATGGGACACTAAGAAGAAGACAGGATGGCAATATTTCATGTGTCCAAAAAAAAAAAGGATCTTAAACACATGTTGGCCTTCTGAAAAGTGTGTTAATGTACTGTATTATGTCCTCAGTACTTTGTTGGGCCTCCTTTTCCACTAATTACTGCATCAAGGCGGCGTGGCATGGAGGCGATCAGCCTTTGACACAGTTGAGGTGTTATGGTAGCCCAAGTTGCTTTGATATTGGCCTTCAGCTTGTCTGCATTTCAGGGTCTGTGTTCCCTCATCTTCCTCTTGACAATAACCCATAGATTTTCAATGGGGTTTAAGTCAGGCGAGTTTGCCGGCTAATCAAGTACAGTTATTCCATGGCTATTAAACCAGGTACTGGTA